CCCCAAAACCCCAAAACCCCAAAACCCCAAAACCCCAAAACCCCTTTGAAAATAAAATTAATTGAAGAATAATATTAATTTTCAAACAAAAATGCCAAAAGACTTAGAAATACTAAAACAATGAATTGAAAAACCACACTTCACTGGATACATGCCTACAGAATTCGAAAGAGATCATTCTCCCTCAAATAGCTCCAGAATGTAGGCTTTGGTTCTAACTTTACAGCATAAACGGGAAGAAAGAAACTCTGAAAACATTCATAAAGGTTTGGAACTCATATACAAAATATATTCACAAGCAATGAATACAGAAAAGATGTTTTGTTAGCCCCTTCGTGGGCTCCTTCTTACAGGCAGAGGACAAAAAATTTAAGTATATCCCAAATAAAGACTTTATTGGAGCTGGCAAACTTAAGTATGAAGTTAATGGAAAGAAGGAATTTGAAGGTCAGTATTTTAAAAAGTAACAGACAAATTGGTGTGAAGGGCTATTTCCAGACTATTCTCTATATTTAGAAACCTGTATTAATAAATATGTTTAGGAAACCTTCCGATCGATTATTCTCCTGAAGACATGCCAATTATTCCAATGAGTGCAAGCTCTATCAGCCAAGTTTGAGGAATCGTTCGTAGTCAGGTCCTAGAAATTTTGAAAGAAATATTTGCAAAGTTTATCGAGATGTCTTCTAAGAAGGAAGACATCTCTCTGGATCTCAAAATAGGAGAACTTTGTGTAACCTCCAATAGTCAGCTCATTTTCAAAAATAAAGAAAATAAAACCGATGAGAAGAATAGAAAAGAGGATATTAAACGTATTATGAGAGAAGCTGATGAAGCTTACATGAGCATGACCAAAAACCCTGCCATAAACTATAACGTAGATAGATTAGCTAGCGATAAATTATCCATGTGCTCTGGATCAACTTACTACGTATCCGTCATGACACCAAGAACAAAAGCAAGGAGTGTTATTTCCTCAAGACCTGGTGGATCAAGGAAGAGGACTCAAAAATGGTCAGTCTTCAAAGGTGATAGAAAAAGAAACTCTGATATGACTCGAACTCAAGGAAAGGAGTTTTCCAACAATAAAAGCGTTGATAACCGGAACCTCTCAGTCTGATCTGCAGAAAATAGGAAAGCAAAGCAGGTTGTGAACCCAAAGAGATTATTCACCAACAACGGTATAATCCATAAAATGGACGAGAACATTGCAGACAACGCATATGGAACTATAAAAGAGAAGCAGAAGATGAACAGAAGTCTTCAGAATATAAAGAAGAAGTCAATGCCTTACCCCTTTCTCGCCTCTTTTATCAATAAAAGAATAGGTGGTCGCCACTTCGGCAAGAGAGTAGAATTTGAGAATAAAGAGCAAGCGTACAAGAATTATGCTGAACAGTTTAAATTCCTTAAAGATAACCAAGACTTGAGAAAGCTCCAGAGAGAAGAAAAGCGAAGAAAGGAATTTGAAGAAATGCTTACTCTCAAAGAAGAAGCCATCAGAGATGATATTGAAAGACAAGTCGACCATAAAACAAAACAAGATGAGTTTAAAAGGGAGATGACTCAAATGGCAGAACAGAAGAAAGCTAAGGCTAGGCAAGAAAGAGAATTCAAAGAAAATGAAACATTCGATTACTTTCCTTATACTCACGGCGAAAGCATAGATAATATGAAGGAAAATTACAAATAAAGTTGTTCTATCAAATATCAATGACCAAGCTAAATCTCACAAAAGAGTATCAACAGCATCTCAAGCCAGTACGAGGAAAAGGTCTACTCGCAGTAATATCGCGTGTAGGACTGGATACCATAATCCCCTCAGTAATGACTACCTAATGGCAGATGAGAAGGAACAAAAGTTTGTCTCTAAAGAAAGACATCCCGAAGTACTAAATTCTGCCCTAAAAAGATTTGAAAACTCATTACTTCAAAAAGAGAGACAACAGATGATTGACAAACAAGAGTTTAAGGACCAGATCGAGCACAACAGACAATACGAAATTATGATCCAGGACAAGATCAATAATGAAAAGAAGATGAACCGAGATCATTTGCTCAAACAAATTAATGACACAAAAATAAAGTCCCTTCTTGAGAAGATGGAGAAAAAGAAATACATTAGGACAAACTATGGGCCTGAGGAGAATGACCTTTCCCTCATTAAAATGTCTCAAAAATAAAGAGACTGGCATTAAAGATTTACAACATATTTTGAAGTTACAAGCTAAGAACAAGAAGCAGATAGAAGATTTTGAGAAAAACCAGTTTAAGCAAGAGTCCATAAATTCTTTGAAAATTAATGAGAAAATACTTAACGACCTTAAAGAAATTAAGAAAGCAACAAAGGCAGCGAACATACAAGCAAATGTTGAGTCTTGGGGGTTACATTCCTCTCTAAAGCAACGTCAGGAAACATAATATTACATTCCTTTAACAATGGTTTATTTAAGACTTCTCAATTTGATCGCTAATTGATGGGGTTTTGGGGTTTTGGGGTTTTGGGGTTTTGGGG